CACCCTCTTCCTATTTATTTTCCAAGCTCTACTGTCTCTGCGGACTGCATTCCGCCACCAATTTATGCTGACGATATAAAAACCATCAGTGAAGCAAAAATGATAATGAGGTATAGGGATCTCGGGCACCGCTGACTACACCTGTGTCCCAGGTGAAGCAACCCAAGAGTCTGAACTCTGAAAAGGCTGGCGACTGAGAGGCTCTGAGAGGCACAGTTCCCGAACGTATGATATTTTAATGACTGCCTTTGCTTAGATCCCTCTCGGAAACCGCACGTATTTTTTGTATTATTAAAAACAAAATGCATTAATGCATTAGGGATCCTCCCTATCTTCTAAGCTCAAAGAAAAACCAGACGGTGCCAGAGAAAGAGCTCTAAAAACAGGATGTGGGCAGCTCTGGTTACAAGGACACAGAAGGACGGAGACTGTCGCCCTTCCTCTTCTTGTTTTTAAGGGAATGAAACCAAGATCCTGGAACATAAGGCTGGAAGGAACCTTGGAGGCCTTCTAGTCCAACCCCCTGGCTTAAGGTAGGAGACTTTCATACCATCCTGGTCAAATGGTTGTCCGGTCTATTCTTGAAAACTTCCAGCAATGGGAGCACCCCCACTTCCAGGAGGCAAGATTTTCCGTGGATTAATTGTTCTCACGGTCAGGAAATTTCTCCTTAATTCGAGGTTAGATCTCTCCGTAATGATTGTTTGTTCACTCATTGCTTCTTGTCTTGCTCTCCGGTACCGGTCCGTGGAACATTTCCTACCGGGCTGCCGGTTTGCTGGGCGCCGCCATCTTGTTTGACGAGAAAGTGCTTCCGGGTGAGTTTTTCCGGTTGGAAAGCGGCGTTTGGGTGCTGAAGGAATCCTCGCGCCTTAGTTTCATCGAAGGGGGGGGTGGCTTCGAACGAAACTAAGGCGCGAGGATTCTTTCGGCACCCAAGGCAAGGCGAGCCGAGCGGCCGTCCCGAAGCCATCCCGAAGCGAAGCCCATCGACAAAGGTACAAAGGAGGAGTTGAAGGTGGCGGGGAGAAGCGGGGGACGGCTGGCTGGCCGGTCGCTCGGCCCGCCTTGCCTTGTCATGCGTGCTGATGCCGGTACCGGGCCGCGGATCATTTTGTGATGCCGGTACCGGGCCGTGGCACAAAAAATGGTTGGGGACCACTGCTCTAAAGGACTGGAAGATCTTTGTTGGTGCTGTTCAGCGGCTAAGTTTGCCCAAATTCACGTCCATTGTGTTGTTGATGCTATCTATCCATCTCGTCTTCTGCCGCCCCCGTGCCCTTTCGGCCTTCCATTTCTCCCAACGTCGGAGTCTCCTCCGGGGAGTCCTTTCTTCTCATCTGATGCGTCAAAGCATTGGCGTTTCAGGGGAAGACTGCTATCAGGTCCACCCTAATTCTTCTCTTCAATAGGCTAGATCAGGGGGTGTCAAACTCAAGGCCCGGAGGATGAATCTGGCCTGCGGGGTGCTTAGATCTGGCCCGCGGCGCCTCTGCCGGAGAAAACGGAGCTCGGGAGGGTTTTCGCTGGCGGAGGCTTGCAGGAGGCAGCCACGGCTGAAAACGGAGCTTGGGAGCCCGTTTTCACGGTCAGATGGCTCAGGCCACACAGGTGCCCCCGAGTTGGGCATGACAACCCTGGCGACGCCCACCCTGGCCCCCTGAGGTCAAACACAACCCTGATGCAGCCCTCGATGAAAGAGACACCCCTGAGCTAGGCATAGCTAGCGAATGAAAGCAAATATACGTGCTCCCAGGATAATGTTGCGGGATTCAATCGGAGTCGGTTACCAGGGCCAGAGGTCTCTTCTTCTAGGATTCTGGACTCGTGGAGCCCATCCTCAAGGAAACTTCTCTCTCTCCGAAAAGTGTAGTCTTCTAAGAACATGAGTGAGCAGTTAAGACAAGGACACTCCAACTCATTAGTAGCCTCACATTGCAAGGAACAAGGACATGCATTTCATTTCGTGACTGCTACGATTGTCGGCCGAGCAGGGGCGAAAATAGCGGGAGAAATGATCGAAGCCTGGGAAACAAGCCCCTTGTTAAATCAAAGGATGTGCGGATTTACTATCAGCTTACCACATACTTAGGAGCTGAAGGTGCAGCAGCACAAGGAAACATCAATGTGTTAACAGCCCGTCACGTGGTCCTAATTAACAACTAAAAGCCACACACAACCAGGTACCACATAAATACCATGTTTCCACGAAAATAAGACCCTGTCTTGTATATTTTTTTGCCACCAAAAAAGGCACCGGGTCTTATTTTCAGGGGATGTCCTCCACTGACTAACCTCACTTGCACACATCACCCCCAGCCTCCTTTTCGCTGTCAGAGGCCTTCAGGAACTTCTTCTTCTGCAGCCAGTAAGGCTTTCCTGAAGGCCTCTGCAGCCGACAAGAGAGCTCTGGATCGATCCTGAGTTTTGTTATCAGCTAGAGACCTTCATGAAAGCCTTGCCAGCTTTGCCGGCTGCAGAAGAAATGGGCCGGCAAGGCAGGTGTCGGGGTGTGTGAGGCCTGGCTACACCTGTCCAAAGGTAGGTAGTAGGGCAGCTCCACCCTCCATTTCCACCCTAGCTTAATTTTTACCCATTCACTCTGGAGTGGGCGGGATCTTAATTAGGGCTTATTTTGGAGGTAGGGTTTATATTGGGTGCATGTGTAAAAATCAAGCTAGGACTTACTTTTGGGATAGGTCATATTTTGGGGGAAACTGGATACTATACACACAACAGCCCAGCTGAAGAATGAAAAGTTCCCTGAGGATGGCCTCCAGTATGAGTCTAAAAGTTTGAAAGAATAAACCTCTAGGTTGTGTGTGTATATATATACTTCCTAGCTCTCTCTCCCTCAACCGTTCATCATACGATATAGCCCCCAGACCCTTTTCTCAATCAAGATCAAAACAAGGAAGTTACTCACAGATTCCACCAGGCATTCAGTGCAAGAGAACATGGCGCCCACGATGGCAAAGTTTTTGGCGTACGACATTCCCCGCTGCCCCATATCTTTCAAGACCTCTCTGGCTGTCGGCGTGCGGTAGGGATCCTTAGGGTCAAAGCCCACGTTGGTATCGATGCCAGCGGTGAACACGCCAAAGGCCCCTCCCAGGACGAAACCTGCCAGATCAGAATTGCAAAGAGGTCAGTCAAGGGCACTTCACCCAAGATCGAAATGATGGATGCATGTCTGGAGAATCCTGCAAATGGGGAGTCTAAGGGCTTGCTTTCATGCCCTCCCCACTTTACAAGGTAGTCAGACACAGGTAGTTCTTCTCTTACAACCACACTTTGAGCCCAACATTCCTGTTGCTAAGCAAGACAGTTTTTCAGTCAGTTTTGCTGCTTTTAAGAGCTTTCTTGCCATATTTAAGTGAATCACTGTACTTAATCATTTGGTCATTAAGTGAATCTGGCTTTGTCCATGAACTGTGTGTGGAGATGGGGAATGCTAGTCCCACTTTAGGCATGAAAGCTGGCTGGGTGACTTTGAGCCAATCACCAGGAGATGGTGAGTTCTAGTTCTCACCTTTGGAATGAAAGCTGGCTGGATGTCTTTGAGCCAATCACCAGGAAATGGTGAATTCTAGTTCCCGCCTTGGGCATGAAAGCCAACTGGGTGACTTTGAGCCAATCACCAGGAGAAAGTGAATTCTAGTTCCTGCCTTATGAATGAAAGCTGGCAGGGTGACTTTGAGCCAATCACCAGGAGACAGTGAGTTCTAGTCCTGCCTTATGCATGCAAGCCAACTGGGTGACTTTGAGCCAATCACCAGGAGACAGTGAGTTCTAATTCCCGCCTTGGGCATGAAAGACACCTGGGTGACTTTGAGCCAATCACCAGGAGATGGGGAGTTCTAGTCCCGCCTTATGCATGCAACCCAACTGGGTGACTTTGAGCCAGTCACCAGGAGACTGGGAGTTCTAGTCCCGCCTTGGGCCAGCTGAGTGATTTGGGGCCAATCCCTCTTTCTCTCAGCCTAGCCCACCTCACAGGGTTGTTGTTTTGGGGAAAACTGGAGGGCGGGGCAGTATTAGGTGGGTTAACACAGAAGGGCGATAGCTAAATTTCATGAACGCATGAAAACAGGAGAGCTCTTTGAGAAAGGTGGCCAATTGTTAAATAAATGAAAATAAATAATTAAAAATAAATTTTCCGGCAAACCTAGCCTCCTCCTTCCTGGGGGGTGAGGAACTACCTCACCCATCATCCTCACCCACTCCGGAGCCCTGAGGCAGGAATGGCGCACTAGAGCTGCAACTTTCGCCACGGCCGCCAGGGGGCAGCAGAGAACCGCAGAAGTTCTTCTCTATCGCCCCCCCTAGCGGCCGCCTGGAATATCACAGGCTGATGGAAGTTGTAGTCCTCGTGACTCTAGCGAAGCAGAGCGTGCGGGGGGATGAAGTCGGCCTTCCAGGCTCCTTCGGAAGACACCCACCGCCGACACAGGCCAGCGCCGCCTTGAAGGCGCAGCTTTCCATGGCGCGCTCGACCATCTTCTGCTCGGGGCTCTTGACCGGCGCCGGGAAACCCCCGAGGACGCCCGGCGGGAAATCCGGCCTCGGGCCTCGCTTTTCGCCCACCAGGTACTCCAGCAGGAGGCTGTACTGCAGCGGCGAGGCCGCTTCCGTCGCCTTGCCGGCTTCATCGGGCTTCTTCGGGGCTCTGGGGAAGGCCGCCGCCATTTGAGCTTCTTTCTCTTTTTCCCCCCCTCACAACTCGAAGCCTACAGTTCCCGTCGTGCCGTTCGCCGCTCGCCCCGGCTTTCCCAATAGGGGGAAACCCCGCGGAGCTTCATGGGAAATTTAGTCCAATCCCCGAAGAGGGGAGGGGGAAAAAAAAAAAATCACAAACCCTCCATTCGTTTGGATTCGAGTGCGCAAGCGCGCCTCTTACCCAATCCCGCTGCTTGGTTTCAGCCGGACTACCAATCCCGGCGTGCCTTCCAAGGTTGGGTGGCCAAATTCGCGCTCAATTGGGCAGATGGGACGTGTAGTTTTTGGTGGGCTCGGGAGTCTTGCGCCCCCTACCGGACCCCTTTGCAAAGCGAAGAATTGCAGAAGGACTGAGCATCTTTAAAAGGACAGGTGAGAAAGCTCAGGTAAGAAGGTTGGGGTTTTTTTTTTTTTGGAAGGTGAAAGAGGCAGCGGGGTTGCGGGGGATGACATTTTGCCCTGCGGGGTGCTGGGGTTTAATGATAATTTTAACCAATAATTCCGATGGATGATGCATTCTGCAAAAAATGTTTCTATTTATAGCATCTGTGTATGTAGTTTAATGCAGATCAATTTGAGAAATGATATTTGCTTGTACATCTTTAAATCACTCCACAGCTCCATCTTTTATTCCTGTTTGTAACGCACCTCCTGAATGTGTGGTCTTTTGCAAAGAACAAGGATTTTCCAGACAAAAGGACATTTTTTAAAAAAAACATAAGAAAGCCCCTTAGAGGACAGAATGGGGTGGAATAATAGAGCATTGAGGCCTAAAAAAAGCAGGTTAGGGGAAACCTCCTTGGCTTAGAATGTTTATGTAGTTTTGTTGCAACAGATATGGAGGGGTGTAGTCATGGCTTCCTGTGGTTATTTTCTCAGTTTCCCAATTTAGCTGACCAGCCCTGGGGTTCCCTCCATCCAACTACTGACCAGATCCAAATTAAGTTAGCAAAATTAGCCAAGGTTGGCTAGATGCTGCCATCTAGCTGGAAAAAGCAAAACAACAAACTTAATTTACTGTATTCTGATTACCCATATATCTGAATAAAGTATATCGGTTTGAAATATCGTTCCTCGGTGGCTGTTTAATCTGTAATAACTCAGAGGGTCTGCATTCACCTGATTACTCGTTTTCTGGATTTAGTTCTCCGAAAATCCAACTAACAAAAGCACCCAGGACACATATCCACCAATTTCCATGTTCAAGCTAATCATTTTAAGAGGGTTATGGGAACATAGCTGCTGTGAAAATTTAATTGGAAGGAAGGAAGGAGCGAGAGGAATGGAGGGTGGGAGAAGGAAGGAGGAATGGAGAGGCAAGAAGGAAGGAAGGAAGGAAGGAAGGAAGGAAGGAAGGAAGGAAGGAAGGATTGAAAGGATGGAAAGGAGGAAGGAGGGAGGGAGGAAATGAAGAAAGAATGGAAAGGAAGGAAAGAAGAAAGGAAGGTTGGAGAGAGGAATGGAGGATGGGAAGAAGGAAGGGGGAATGGAGAGGCAAGCAGGAAGGAAGGAAGGAGGGAGGGAGGAAAGGAAGAAAGAATGGAAAGGAAGGAAAGAAAGGAAGGATGGAGAGAGAGAGGAAAGAAGGAAGGAAGGAAGGAAGGAAGGAAGGAAGGAAGGAAGGAAGGAAGGAAGGAAGGAAGGAAAGAGAAATGGAGAGGCAGGAGGGAGGGAGCCGGGAGGAAGGGAAGGAAAGGAAAGGAAAGGAAAGGAAAAGAAGGAAAGAAGAAAGGAAGGATGGAGGGATGGAGAAAGAGGAATGGAGGGAGGGAGGAAGGAGGAATGGAGAGGCAAGTGGGAGGGAAGGAAGGAAGGAAGGAATACTTCCCAGGAGGAAGAGAAAAGTGGGGCTGCCTTTGCATCTGTTATTTTTGAGGGAGGGGGAGATCTTAAACACGGAAGCCCAGCTAAAGCAAAACAAAAGCTGACCTTGCAGCTTCTTCCGATCTCCCCGTTAAACAATAATCAAAGTCACCACATTCTTTGTTACATATTAATTCTACAGTGTTTAACATAGCAATATCCACCTATTGTTCATACAATGCTAGCTGGATACCCGTGATTCGTTATGAAGCTATGCGGTCGGGCTTTGTTTTGGGGGGAGGAAAATAAGAGAAAAAAATTCTGCGTCTGCCAACCAGCATCCATCGGTATTCATCTGGCTAGCGTCCCGTCGGTGTGTGAGAGAGTTGAGGGCTGTTTGGAAGCTGAAACAGGATTTGCTGTGTGAGCAAGAAGGAGACAGCAAGGAGCCTGGGTGTGGCTTAGCTCAACTGTTCTGGACTAAAGCTGCTTGGTGCTGTGAAACTGAAACTCCTCTGCTTGTGTTTTGCATTTGGAGCAGATTTCTTTTCAGGTGGGGTGGGGGAGTAGAACTCCTTAGCATCAGAGCGTGTTAATAATAATATAGGAAATATTAATGCTCTGGTGGTCATTTCGAAAAACCCTTTCTTAAGGAGCCCCTAGAAGCCAAGAGGAACAGACGTGCCAAATTTCAAGTTTGTAACCTTTACGGTTCTGGAGATTTTGTGATGATGCGTGAGGGGTATTATTTCGCTTTTATATATAGAGATTAATGTAGTGATATTCAACATATTAGTCACCATATTAACTTATCTCTTTTAACATATCTTCTTCTTTTAACACATCGTCTTAATTTTGTTTCCCCATTTCTAACTTCCATTTTTATTATTTAACCATTGGTAGAATAAATCCCATAGCATATAGTATTCAGTTTTCACTTTCTCCTTAATTGCCAAGGTTAATCTACTCATTTCTGCACAGTAGTATTTTCTTAATCCCATTCTCATCTGTAGGTATCTCTTCACTCTTCCAATTTTGTGCAAATACAATCCTAGCAGCAGTTAATATAGGAATAACTAAATATGTATTTTCCTTACTACATTTAAGAAAATTTGAATTAAAAACAAAAAACCAAGAACTGGGCGATTGAGGGATTTGACTCGACACAGGAAAACTTGCAGAACTCTTAACGGGATGGGCTTTTGGGGAGAGAGATGACAGGCAGCTAATGGAGAAAACATTGAGGACTAGAATATTGAAAAGGACGGCAGCCCAGTGAGCAGAACAGCTGTGGGCAAAAGAAGCCAGAACTTGGAGGGAGATTCAAGTGGTAGGAAGATAACAGAGAAAAAAAGGCGAGACAAGGATTCAGGGTTAGGGAAGCTAATCGCAGATTCTCTCTCTCTCGGCAGTTGGACCCACAATCTGGAAGTGTGTAGGCATCTATCACAAGGTGCCATCACCATGGGGACGGGATATTTAAGGGAGGAAAATCATCGCTCTTCGCCACAAGGCGGGCTAGGAAACACCAGGAGTTCTTGGGCAATACAAGCCCAAATCCTGACAGAACTGGGCTTTCTCCTTTCTTTCTTTCTTTCTTTCTTTCTTTCTTTCTTTCTTTCTTTCTTTCTT